AAAATAAACAAATGTGTAGTTTGAGACATTTAGCTGAAATTCTGAAATTTCATATAAATGCCACTGCTGTTATAAAGTTTAAATAGAAGAAGGTGGTTTTGGACTATCGTACCATACAAGTAGCAAATAGTGCGAAATGCCTTTAGGTGTTGAGATAGAGCTGGAATTCTGAAATTTCATATGGAAGCCAGTCTTGGTATATGCGTGCTATGATTTTTCGAAAAGTACCAAATGGTACCAAAGATTGACTTTAAAATGGAAATTCTAAGATCTTCTGTTTCGTCTTTATGTTTACTGTCACACAGTCATTTGGAGAACCCCTTTGGGTTTTATTTTCTTTGACATTTTGATAGGTAAATCCTCCCCTACCCATCGTTTATCTGGATGAACAACACATACTTCCTTCAATATTATCCCGTCACTCATGCCTGTCGAATAATTGCCAAAACGTTTAAATTACAAAAAAATTCCCACGCACAGAAGATGACAAGTTAACAGGTTATTCTCATCGTCAAGAGGCGAAAAACTGTAAGTCTGATGTGGCAAGCAGCATGATACAGTTTTAAAACTAATTAAAATTTGCCCTGTCAAAAACATGCTTGCAAACGCATGCACACACACACACACACACACACATACATACATACACATTCCAGAAGGGCCATGGCTCAATTTTGACAGCCTTAATTTGAAGTCCTTACATGAAATAACAGCTTAGGGGTCCACACAGGTTTGACAGGTGAAATATGTGAGTGGGGTAGTGGAGGGAAGAACAATTTTCAAAGATCCGTTCGACAAAGAGAATATTTAGGTCATACTAAAAATGGACTTAGAGAAAGTGATAACTTTGAAGACCATCCAGAGATGTGCCCTAGTAAGAATGTTCAGAAGCGGAATACTGGTATATGAGATAAGAGAATAAACTAGTACCTAGCTTATATTGCAGCGAATTAGCTCTACAAAGTTACCAGAGAAGATAAGGCTACGTACAAAAAGTACCAAAATGTACTAAATAAGTATTTGCCGCAGAACTTAAATTTGGAATGTGGGTCACTGATGTAGTGTATGGTGGATGTTTTTGGAAGTTCGCACTATAAGTGTACGAAAAGTACTAAAATTTGAACATATGCTACTATTTAAAATTTGGAATTGGATTTCAGGTTGAGGAGTTAATGTATGGAGGTAGTTTTGGAAGTGTGTATAGGAAAAGCAATTTGGTACAATTTATGTTTGGAGGGGTGGATGGAGCTTAAAACATGGCGGAGTGTAGGTTTGGGATAGTTAGATAGTTTTCGAAATTTATACTTATGGGTATGAAAAGTACTAAAGTTGGTACAATATCAATCTGGATGATCCGATAGAGCTAGAATGCTGAAATTTGGAATTAAAACTGTAATTGTGCACGAAAGGTACTAAATGGTACTAAACTTGCTCGAACGGATACTGCTTGTAATATAAAATTTCCCATTAGAATCACTGTTGCTGTGTGTAGAGTTGAGATTTGAGTTAAAAAGTACTAAATGGTACATAATTTGTTTTTTTTTTTTTTTTTGGATAAGAAATTGAGTTGGTAGTCTAAAACTTGGAATTAGGTTCTCCTTTTGTGCGATTTTTTAAGATTGGCGAGAGATTTTTAAGTTCGTACTACATGTACGAAAAGTACTAAATAGTATTAACATTGGTATTTGGGAAAGGAATAGCGCTGGAAATCTGAAATTTTGATTGAGAGTCTTTGATGTTGTCTAGGAAAGACAAACTAAAGGTTTTTTTTCGCAATTTGAAAAATAAGTACTAAAATGCAGTACATTTTAGTACCATTTTATGTAAAGGGATAGTGGTGGTGGTTTTTTAAATGTAAGAACTTTCCCAAATGGCAATAAATTTTGTATTTTGTATAGAATTATGGATTTCGATACTAAGATCGGGCGAAATATATGCAATTAAGTCGTTTTTTTTTAATCAATGATCTTAGAACCAAGATTTCTTTAGACCAACTCCGTGAGGCATTTTACCTTGTTAGCTTTACTTTCATAATCTACTGGATTTTTCCCGGTAATTATTGAAAAATAGAATAGATCGATATCAAAGTGGTCGTAGGTGATTTTTCATACAATAAGAACTCAAAATACCGAACGAATCCCAATTCAGCTGTTAATTTGAACTAAAATCTTTAAAATTCCCAAAACCAGTATATACCATTATCGATCGATAACAACCTAATAACAATGGAAATTTCCAGCAGGACGGTATTATACCCTTTGAGAACCTGACTCGCTATCTCCTGCTAATTTGGTTGAGACATTAATTTAAATCTTTGGACATATTTATAATCGGGTAGATCAAATAGAGCCTTCATTCTATTAAATCTAGACCCGGTATTAAAATGGGGACAACGTTGTATAGTGCTCATACCTAAATGTGGACCTATATGGCCTTTTTTTCAATATTAATCATCCTAGAAAGTACAAAATATTGATCCATATTTAAATGCTCGTATTTGAATCATCAATTGTTGCTATTTTGACAGAGTTTTCTAAGTGGAGGCATCTCTCGCTTTTACAAAATGTGAAGTATGATTTTGTTTGGTCTTAGCGGAGTTTTCATTATCGGTATTCGGAATTTGATCAATTTCTTCCGCAAGAATATTTGAAATTGCTTCTACACCTCCTTTATTGTTCACAAAACAATTATCGAACATTTATTGGAGCAATTAAAGAATAGAAGTCAGAGCAGAGTTCGGCGGGCGGAACTTTTTTTCTACAAATATTCCTAAGATTTCTGTATGTGTGCTATATGCAATCGTAGCGCTATTTACGCAATTTTTTTATCAGAGTTCCGACAAATCCATTGAGAAATGTGGCTAAAATCATTAAAATGCCGAATATCGGTAGATACTGTTATATGGGGGCTATATGATATCGTAAATATGTATAGTATACTTCTTTGCGGGGGTAAGGTACCCGCAATGAACTGCATGTGCAGAATTTCAGACAACTCAATTAAAAAATATGGCTATAATTATTAAAATACCGAATGGAGGCTATAGCAATAGTAGACATACACGGTGAGATGAAAAAACTGCAACCAAATTGAGACTGTTCTCATTTCTAAGCCACTCGTCCGACAGTTGTTAAAATTATTCCAGTGACAGCTCATTACATTGTTTACAAGCGTACAAAAGCATTTTGATGAGAATTTTCCAGAAAAAAAGTTATTCGGGCGGGAAAACCACAAGTGGCTATCGTTAGAGCACTCCAGCATTTAAATGTGAATAAATCTTTTGTGTCTCGTACTCGTCGCTCGTTACCGTGATACTGGTAGCGTAGCCCGACGTCAAAGAAGTGGACAGCAACATCAGCAGAAATGGTTCGAAGAAGCGACTTGATCGAAACCCGCGTCGCAGTGGCCGAAAAATGGCTGGTGAGCTGAACATATCGCAATATTCCGTTCGTAAAATATTGAAGAATGAGCTCGAGGTGAAGATATTGAATTTCAAAAAAGTGCAAGAACTTACACCGCACCAGAAAGAAAATAGACTCAAAAGAGCTAAAAAGTAGCTTCGCTTGGTCGAAAGTGGTGAACTGCCGAATTTGGTATTCTCCGATGAGAAAACATTCGTTGTCCAGCAGTTTGTAAACAAACAAAATGATCGTGTTGACTTGCCAAAGAGGTCAGCTGAAAATGTGCACCTTCGATTGGCCACCAGAACTCAAGCGCCAGCCATGGTGATGGTGTGGGCCGCCATAGCAGCCGATGGGCGCTATCCGCTCGTATTAATCGACGGTGGCATCAGAATTATTGCCAAATAATATCGCGAAAATATTCTGGAGGACTCAGCACCATCGCACTCAACACCCAAGAATGGTTACAAAATGAGGTTCCTCGCTTCATTTCCAGTGCACAATGGCCACCAAAATCTCCGGATACCAATCCGTTGGGCTATTGTTTCTGGGGTATTTTGGAAAGCAAGGTTGCCACTATAGAATACCAAAATGTCGATCACCTCAAGCATGCACTTCGCTGGGAATGGGCCAAAATACCGCAGAGCAACAATCGGGCAGTGTGTGACGGTTTCATTGGCCGTTTGAAGGCCATAATTCATGCCAAAGGTGAACAATTCGAACAAATCTAAATTTATTCTAAAATTTGATGCTATTTCCGACATTTTTGCTTTCATTCAATAAAATTAAAAAAATGTAAAAATATGGCGTTTGACTTTGTTGCAGTTTTTTTATGTCACTCTGTATTTACACAATTTTTGCCGTATTCATAAGTGCCTATTAGGGATTTTACACATCGGATTCCGGACAAATCCATTGAAAAAATGTGTCTAAATCATTAAAATACCGACTATCGGGAGGTTCCGATATCGTAGATCGATATATCCTGTCTTCGAACCTAGGTATAAGAATTAAAAACTTAGGGGAAGAAATTGTATTAGAATTAGGTTATCATTATCCCAAAATCGCCGCCGACTTAGTTGAAATTGTGGCTGAAACCTTAATAATAACATAAATCGGAAGATCTACTTTCATATGAGGCTACCTTAAGAGATCTTGGTTTGAACAGACAGACGGACATTGTTAATTTTATAGTGATTTGTTTTTTATATCACAAGTTCCTTAAATTTATGGCCTACATCTTCCTACTCCTCCATATTCTCTTCTCCTTATTAAAGATCTCTTTAATACCTTTCCCAATTCTATCCAAAATAAACTCGCCACTGCTATCAAAACACCAAAGTCTTACCCTTAGTTCTATTTTCTCAACTAATTACAATTAGTGTTTCTAATCGTGTTTGTGACGGTGCGTGTGCAACGCATCAGGGTCACAGTTCACCAATGGCAGCGGTAGTGGCAGTGGCAGATTGGGAGTGTAAAATTTCTTGTTGATGTGTTACGTGTGGCCGTGGTTATTTATCTTTCTCGGCTAGGCCACGACGACGTCGAGGACGCCTAGTATGACAGCCAATGTGAATGAAGATAAAACAGGACACTTACCGTGACTCAGCCGAGGGTTTGCAGCCGGGCGCACTTTTCCATAGACGTGCCAACATGCCCATGTACAGGAAACATATTAACGTCAGTGGGGCCACGTACGATGACAGGAAGAATGAAAGCTGCAAAGATAAAAACACAAAAAAGGAGAATAGATGATAAGACAGGCAGCCAAGAGAAGAGAAGGGCAAACGGGGAGGTGTTTGTGTGTGTGGGAGTTGTGGAATAAATGCCGCAACAACATGAAAATGAATGGAAGACGATGATGAAATGAAACCCAACCAAATACAATAAACACGCACTTGTTGCTCACTGACAAAATAAGAAACAGAAAGTGTTAAAAATACTCCCTCACCCTGATAATGCAAGGATGTGGGTAGTTTCCCCAGCAAACTAAATTATAAGAGTTCGTTTTAAAATTGGCCAGAAAAAAAGTTGCGGAGGTGGGCACGATTACACTTTTATTCGTAGGCAATATGGAGCTCTTAATGAGATCGCTGAACGAAGAATAGGATGGAAATCTGAAATATTCGCTCGATTCAGAAACCAAACATACAACAAATCTTTACAACATTTAATAGTTTTTCAAAGTGTCTGGCAATTCAAAATGACCTCAAAATGTCCTTTTTATACTTGAGATACAATTCCATAATATTTCTAATTTGGCTACCTAAAATTATGGCTATTTGTTATATTGCTGTAGACTATATACCTTAAATGATTTTAAGATATATTAATTTTTTCATTTTCAAAAATGTGTTAGAAAAGCGTAACCCCTCTTTTTAAGTTACTTTGCGTTGCAGACTTTCTAACGCCGATTTACGTGTGGAACAATTTTTAGCTCTACTTTTATAATCTGTAATCTTTTTTTTGTGTCCGCAAAATCCAGTTTAAAATTTTAAATTTGTTCCAATGGTTCGTGTTAGGTCTTTTTATACCCTCCACCATACTATGGAGGGTATATTAACTTATATATTCTTGATCAGCGTAAAATTCTAAGTCGACTTAGCGATGTCCGTCCGTCTGTTGTAATCACCCTATCTTTCGAACGAATTGAGATAGAAGGCTAAAATTAAGGCAGGTTAAGTTCGTAAATGGGCCATGTAGGTCCACGTTTTCATATAGCCCCCATATAACGGCACCTCCCGATATTCGATGTTTTGATGATTCTAACCACATTCAAATTTGGTATTTGAAGTTCGAAATGGATACTTCAGCTTATGGCAGAAAATTGTCTGTGCAGGTCCACGTCTTCGTATAAGCCCCATATGTCAGTACCTCCCAATATTCGGTATTTTGTTGATTTTAGCATCATTATTCACCGGAGTAGTTTCAAATTAGGTATTTAGAGTTCGTAATGGGAATTACAGGCTGTGACAGAAAATTGTCTTTTCAGGTCCACGTCTTCATATAGCCCCCATATAACGGTACCTCCCGATATTCGGTGTTTTGATGATTTTAGCGACATTATTCAGCGGAATTGTTTCAAATTTGGTATTTGAGGTTCGAAATAAATATTACAGCCTATGGCAAACAATTTTCTGTACAGGTCCACGTCTTCGTATAGCCCCCATAGAACGGTATCTCCCAATATTCGGTATTTTGATGATTTTAGCGTCATTATTCACCGGAGTAGTTTCAAATTATGTATTTAGAGTTCGTAATGGGAACTACAGTCTGTGACAGAAAATTGTCTGTGCAGGTCCACGTCTTCGTATAGCCCCATATAACGGTACCTCCAATTATTCGGTATTTTGATGATTTTAGCGACATTATTCAGCGGAACTGTTTCAAATTTGGTATTTGAAGATCGTATTGGATACTTCAGCCTATGACAGAAAACTGTCTATGCAGGTCCAGGTTTTCGTATAGGCCCCATATATCAGTACCTCCCAATATTCGGTATTTTGATGATTTTAGTGTCTTTATTCACCGGAATAGTTTGAGATGTCGTATTTGAATTTCGTAATGGATGCTCCAGCCTGTAACAGAAAATTGTCTATGCAGGTCCAGGTCTTCGTATAGATCCGATATAACGGTGCCTCCCTATATACGATATTTTGATGATTTTAGCTACATTACTCACCGTTCATTTCAAGTTTCGAATTTGAATATGGTAACGGCTTATGACAAACCAGTACCATTCAGTACAAATAGTAAACATTTCCAAAACAACTTCCACATCTTAATTCCAGATACAAACAGAGACCTCAATATCAAATTTTGGGATTCCATCTCTATCCTTTCACCCATTACCAAATTTAGTACAAATTTGGTAAGCGTATGCAAAACCAGCTATTTTTCTCAACCACGGACACCAACAGTGGCATCCATTTTGAATTTCAGCTCCATCCCTTCATCCAATACACAATTTAGTACCGTTTAGTACTTCTCGTACAATTATAGTACAAATTTCCAATATCACATCTTTATTCCAGATACCACGACCTTAATATGAAATTTGAGGTTACTACCCCTATTCCTTCACCCAATACCAAATTTAGTTCCATTTAGTACTTTTCGTACAAATATAGGGCGCATTTCTAAGCCATCGCTAAATCTCAAACACAGACACTACCAGCAATCCAAATAGCAAAATTCAGAATTTTATCTCTATTTCTCCATCCAATACAAAATATAGTACCATTCCGTACTTAACGTAAAATAATATTACACATTTCCGAAACCATTTCCATATGTCCAGACTACATATGAACAGCGGCCTGAATACCAAATATAAGATTTTAAGCACTTTCTGTTCACCCAGAGCCAAATTGTACCATATATAGTCCAAAACCTCCACGTCTTAATTCTAGATATCAAAAGATACGTCAACACCACATTTGGAGATTCAACCTCTATCCCTTCACCCAATACCAAATTTAGTTTCGTACAAATATACGATGCAATTTTAAATCAACGACAAACCTCAAACACATATACTATCAGTAATCTAAATAACAAATTTTAGAATTTTATCTTTATCTCTTCAGGTAATACCAAATATAGTACAATTTAGTACTTTTCGTATAATTAATGTACACATTCCGAAACCACCTCCATACGTCGAGGAAAACACATAAACAGCCACCCTTTTAACAAATTTCAGTTTCAATTACTATTTTTTTACCCAATACCAAATTGTACCAAATATAGTACTATTTAGTACTTTTCGTACAATTATAGTACAAATTTCAAAAACCACCTCTACATCTTAATTCCAGATATCAACAGAGACTTAAACAATATAATTTTGAGATTCAACCTCTATCCCTTCACCCAATACCAATTTAGTACAATTTCGTACTTTTCGTACAAATATAAGAAGAATTTTCAAACCACCGCCCAATCTCAAGCACATCTACCATCAGTAATCTAAATATGAAATTTCAGAATTTTTATCTCTATCCCTCCACGCAATACGAAATATAGTACAATTTAGTACTTTTCGTATAATTATAGTACACATCTGTGTTAAAATACCTTCATATGTCCGGGGTACACATGAACAGCGATCCTAAAACCAAATTTCACTTTTCAATCACTTTCTGTTCGCCCAATGTCAAAATGTACCAAATATAGTAATATTTAGTACTTTTTGTGCACTTGTAGTACATATTTCTAAAACCAACTCTTTTACACAAACCTACCACCAACAGATACTCTCACACAAGAAAAAATGTCACTTAACTTAAATTTCAAATTTAACCTAACTCTTCCAAATTTAGTACCATTTAGTACAGTTTCCACACTTAGTACACATTTGCAAAACCACTTTCATATATCAAATTTATTTTCTAACCTTGATTCTCAGACCAAGTTTCAAGTTTTTAGCTCCATACGTTCACTTAATTCCAAATGGTACCATTGTAGAAGTTTAGTACCATTTTAGAACATTTCTTAACTTTAAAGTTCGAATTTCCGAAAACCCTTTCGTACACCTATCCTACACTCCATTAGTGCCTTGCATTCCAAATTGTCACTACTTTTTAATACGAGTTTCTAAAAACATAGCCTTATCACTCTCTTACGTACCCAGCCTGACCCTCGTGCAAAATTTCAAAATTCTAGCCTTAGCCGTTATCTATGGGGGTTGATTTTGGGTCAATTATTTCACTACTTTTAAATAAAGTTTTCCATTTTCATAAAAACAACGTTTGTTTATTAGTGGAGAACGATGGTAATGTTTACCAAGGGGTAAGGCAGGGAATGCCTAGGTTTCGGAAAGAGCCACCAATCCTCATCAGTTCCCTTGTTTTTTTGTCTGGGATATTCTCCCCAAAAGTTATTTTTCTCAGGATTTCTCAGAAGACAATTACTGTATTTCGTAAATAACGTAGAAAGGATTTTGAGTGAATTTTGGTCCTTAATATTTTGAAAATAAAGAATTTCTGCCTACCCCGATCTAACACCTTTTCTACGAACTCTTGCATTTTTCTTTGCTGGGTTGGTCGTCTGCTTTGGTTCGGTAATGGTATGAATATTTATAAGTAGTACTAAATGTAAATAAGCAAATATGTACTTGTCTACGAGCATCCGTGTCATTGTGTTTGTGTTGGCGTTTAAGTGTGAACAGATGATACCCTGTGTATATGTAATTTTGTAACTGTGTGTGTGTTTGTGTGTTTTGTTTGTTTGCATGAACTACAGCGCATAACTAAATTAATACAGTCACTGCGAAAAGTATGCGACTGTGTGGCATTCATGCCTCGAAATTAATTACATGACTGACAATGACAGATGGACAACAGCGAAGTGTGGACAACAGCGCGTAGTCATGCTGTGTGCGACTTCGTGGTGATGAATGATTTCAACGTCGGTTATTTAAAGGAGACATTTATCAACCAACTACTATGGCCGAAAGTAGTAATAAGTTGCGACAAAACTGCTGTTGGATTAGCATTTTTAAATAGCTTTATTTTATGTTGGAATGGGAAAATGGAAATAAATGTTTGTGTTAATTAAAGTGGCCTTAGAGAGGTTAAAGGCTATAAAATTTATTTCCCTATTTTAAGGGGAGGGTACTTTTATTAACATCGATTAGATGGTACTGAAAACTGGCGGGTATGAGTGTTAAGACAGAGTTATGTAGGATGTAGAGCCTTGGTCAATGAAATGACGG